GTATGAAAATGGCATATATCTTACCATGCTAAAGATATGAAAAAAATGATCATACTACTGTTCGATTTGAATCGCAGCTTAGAGAATTGGTAGTTTATTGAAGATATAAACTCCTCAAAAGTAAGTTTCATTACAAAGCTTTAGAAGCTGGTATGACCTCCTCCAGCAGCCTCGAGAACATCAAATCTTTTCCTCATGGAACACAGCAAATTGATAAAAAGATCGGTGTCATCTTCAAGATCACTGAGTGTATTCTCGAGGTTAGTTTTGAGAACATCATAATCGTATCGATCTCGACGATCTTCGCTTATCATCAGTTCCTCCACTTTATCTTTGATAATTGCACCAATGTTTTCTGCAGGATTCATGTCAGGACTGTTACCAGGCCAAATCGAATTACCCCAAAAATTCACACCTTCATCTTCGAGAAGATGCTGTGTAGCATTAGCTTTCATACATGGGGCCTTGTCATGAAGAAATATGACTTCGTTTGTGTCAAGAACATTGGTTGGATTGCGAAGAAATGGAATAACATGTTCCTGAAGAATAATCTCACGAAAATAGGCACCATCCCAAGATTGTCCTTCTTCCTTCAAGACCCAAAGGAGTTTTTTCGCCGTGAAAATCACAAAAATTCCGATACATCTTGCATTCTGAATCATTTCACTGTACCTTTCGTCATCGCTAATATCTTCAATACTTTTTGCCCAAATTCTTTCATTTTGGTGGTTTGGTTTTCTTGTCACATAAATATAAAATTCGTCTGAAGGTGCGATGTGTAGAAAATCCTCTACAGTCCAATCAGAAACAAAATTTGCGAGCCATTTTCGATCTTCAATGTGTGTCTTTGTCTTCAATGGCTTTGAAATCACGTGGAATGGTTTTAATCCTTGTCGATGGCGTTCACGATGCACCGTTGAATAATTCACTTGTTGCCTTGTTTTCTCCAAAACTTCTCTTGCAAGCTTCCGACAGCTCTTGCTCCTGATGCCACTTGCAGAAGCGATGATATTTTTGCTCTCTTGAGAGAGCACTTGAGGTCGACCACTTCCGAATTGTGTATAGCATTCGTCAACTGTTTTATTCCAAGTTCGTCGTACCCAATCTTCGCTACGATGAAGCTTTTCGGAAATCCATTGACGACTGATAAATGAGTCTCCTGTTCTTGCAATCATTTCATCGCGTATCTCACGATATGTGATACAACGAATTCTGTCTATAATTCGTTGTTCTTCATTATCATAAAGAACATTAGCCATTTTGATTCACGAAATTCAGATTTTACAGACTTGCCGTAGTTTAAATAATATTTAACTCAATTTCTAACTTAATAGAAAAGAGACCTTACGAATAACACACGCTGAGATTAAAAGAAAAATGAAAAAACTTTAAGCAATGCCACTGATTATTCATTCTCTTTTTCCTCCATTTCTCCCTTATCTATACGTGCACATATGCAAGCATCGCATCCTTTCCTTGCTTCTTTCTGTTTTTCCCTTTACTGTCAGCTACGAGTGATGAACGTTTTTCAATTCAGAACAACCACATCATCCGATTCGTGTACGTGTTTTCCAACAGGCGAACAGAGCGAGAACTATTTGAGGTAAATCATATATTACTCTAAAAAAATACACGTTAAGAACACTTTAAAGTGATCTAAGCTACAATGTATGAAGGGGTAAATTATATGTGGTGAAATGAGTATGATAATTTTTTTCATATCTTTAGCATGGTAAGATATATGC